TTGGGGTTACAAGGGAGCATGGAGACGGCTTCCTGGCCAATCAGGAAGCCGGGCAGTGTGTAATGACTTGCCACCTGGCTTCCTAATACTGGAAGTACCGGGCTAGGCATCGGGAGCATTTGGGGGGGAGTACTCGTCCAAATACTAGTATCGGTATCGGCATCCCTAGTTATGATATATGCGCAAATGTTGATCAAACCGGTATTTTTAGGATAAAATACACTGAAATGAATATAATACACAATTTTGGGGTAAAATATAAAAGTTTGGGTCACGTCAGGCAAATGGATATAAAACATATCGAGCCTTAAAACTGCACGTGACCGTAAAATACCCCAAAATACCAAAAATTGCTTTAAAAGCATCCTCGTCATGGGGACATCGGGGGTCTATTAGACCTCTAATGTCTCCTGTGGAACCCAAAGATGCTTCACCAGCTTCTTCTCTGGCCGCAGCAGCCGAAGAAATGACACATTGAACCCGGAAGTGATATGTAGTAAGTAATATACATGGCTTTAAAAGCATCCTCGTCTTGGGGACATCGGGGGTCTATTAGACTTCTAATGTCGCCGGTGGAACCCCCAGAAGCTGATGAAGCACAGGTCGTTGATCTCCGGCCGCAGCAGCCACAGAAATGACACATTGAACCCGGAAGTGATAGGTAAGTAATATACACCGCTTTCACTGATCAGCCGCCTGATGTTTGGAGACCTCCCTCCAATCAAAGTGTAGGGAGCCGCTGTGCTGATTTCGGGCTTGCATAGGGGAGATCGGATCGAAGAGGGTGCACACTCCACAGCAACATGCAAGAGATCGGGCAGCTCTAAAGCCGCTTGAACGCTTGTACATAGCAGCCATCGCCGGCTGTAAAAATGAATACCAAGATCGCGCCCGCTGCTGTATAACCCCTTCAGGTTGCCGCTGTTTATTGATGTATTTCGGGCTCTCCGTATTCTTCCAAACACAACAAGAATACCAAATCATGAACACAGCCGCCTCAGAAATTGTGGGCACAGTCACTCTACGTAACCATACTATAGAACTTGATTCACCAAGACAAGAGAGCAACACCTCAGGACCTCTCCGAAGCATTGGGTGAAGGAGAACTCCAGAAATTAGGAAAGTTAACCCTTGCAGTGGGACTGCTCTCTGCTCATTGGGGATGGAATACAGAAGGTATGCGCACCCGATG